TGGTAATACATGCAAATTAACATGAATTGTTGTAGAAATGAACTGTCGACGAAATGATTGTCGACGAAATGAACTTTCGACGAAATGATTGTCGACGAAACAAACTTTCGACGAAATGAACTTTCGACAAAATGATTGTCGATGAAATGATTGTCGATGAAGTGATTGTCGATGAATTTTAACAATATTTTTCAAGTACTGAGTTCTTTTTTTAATCCCAACCATTTTAAATATTTTTAAGATTTTTATTAGGATGAATTAAATTGATACATTTTACTTCATAATTTGGGCTGGCATTAAACAGATCGGCCAGAATTCTTTCAAAATTTTATAATACAACGTCAAACTTTAACTTGACATGACTCCTGTTGCACTGAACTTATTTAAAAAATTCTAACATAGTTCAATAGCTTTTAACTAGAATAATTGATTTATGTTTTTTTTTTTTCAAAAGTTACATGAAAATTTAACTAAAGTCAATTTTAAGAAGGCCAATTATTTTGGATGTATTACTGTGACACGCACTGTAGTATTAACTATATAGTTAAAGTGTTGAATTCTTTCTAATTTATTTTCTTTCAAGATAATAATAAATAATAGGTTTTGTGGATTTACTTATTAATTGAAACCTTTTAAAATGACCGAACAAAATACTTCCATAAGTGAGAAAAATAAACTAATCATTGATCGTGAAAAGGTAATTTTTTATCAATCAATTGGTTATATTGTAATTTTAAATTATTTCTTTATTTCATAGATTGCACCATTTTTATTAAGAGTATTTTGCAGACCAAGTTATCATCACAGGTAAAACTTTTGTTTTTATTGTTCTGGAAAGTTTGCTTTGTAGCGAATTACTAAATCTTTTTCAATAGACTTGATGATTACACACCTGAACATCTGCCTATAGATGATGAAGTACAGATATATACATGGTATATATATTATACATATTGTGTGTGTGTGTTTATAATCATTGTAAGATAATAATAAGTACCAATTTTATTTTTGTTAATAATAATATTATAAAAATAGGAAGGATGCAACTTTGAAAGAGATAGCTAATCTTATAAAAAAAGTAAATCAAGATGCAAGCCGACCGAATGCACGCCTATCATTTAAATTAGCATATATAGACAATCTGCGTGGCAGATATGTTTTTAAAGAACTTGGAGTTGTACATAATTCAACCTCAAGTACTGACGATGGCAAAAACCTTGACGATGCAAGGTTTGTTATTGGTGATCTTTTGGATGTAACAGTGCTTTATGAGGCTCTATCTGATAGTGTCATAGAAAGACATGAAAGTTTAAGGGATAGAGATAGAGATCATGATAATAGATATCGTGGAGGTGGTAGTGGTAGAAATTTCCGTACACGAGTTGATAATAATAGAGATTATCGTGATAGGGCGAGAAATCGTGACTCTGAAAGAGATCATGATCGTGATAGAAACGGATCAAGAAGAATTGATAGAAGAGATGATAGAAGAGATGGAGGAAGGAGTTTTAGAGATAGAAGATAAAGACATTAAAAAATTAATTAATGAATGAATTAAAAGGTAAATTATTATTTGTTGCTAGTTTATTATTATTATTTTTTTTGTTTTTTTTTTTATAATCAATAAATTAATGTTTGATCAACTAAACGTTCCTAAAAAAAGCAAGAGGTGTGGTTTTTGTTTTTAAATCAATGTTTCCTATCCTTATTACTATTACTACTATTACTATTATTATTACTATTATTACATATTTAAAAAATCTATTTTTATATTTACGAAAATACAATTAATAATGTCCTTATTCTCATTATTTTGTTAAATTAATTCATAAAGTTTGGGAAATAATTCTTGATACAACAATGACAGCAGAAAGCTGTATTAAATTAAATATGCTGGTTATTTTTTTAATATTTCTCCCCATAAAAAAATTACATTTTACATTTATAATTATTATGTTACTATTATTATTATAATCAACAGAGGTCCGATAAGTTCTCAATCATAGTGTTTTTCTTAAATTTTCAATTTCTTTTCTTAAGCCCTCATTTTCTTTTTTTAAATCCCCATTTTCCTTTTTTAAATCTTCATTTTCACAAAAAATAGCTTGGTATTGGTGATCAAATGAATTCTTTAATCAAATTAACAAAACAAAATTTCATCAGATTTTTTCTCATAAAATAAAGTATAAAAATCATTATATATAAATTTTTATTTAAAATACCAAATATGTTGACATCTCCTTTGGTTTGATATTTCCCGTTATATGTGGTAACTGTTCTGACTTATTAATGTTGTTAACTTGATTTGCTTTTGTCTGTAAAGGTTTTATACTAGGCGGCTCTAAATCATTCCCATGTAATCCCATCATTTCAATTAATAGATTTCGTTGCATATCATTTTGTTGAAGTAAAAACGATATTTGTGAAATCAATTGGGTTGGATTCAATTGTTGACCTTGTATGATAGATGCGAGTGGCAAGGCACTAGGTGAATTGCTTAAAAAAGTGGATTGTGGTGAATTTGGTGCATTAAATGAACATAAATTTCCTAAGGTATATATATATACACACACATACATACAAGTAATAAAAATTGTGAGAGATTATTAATAATAAAGTAGGAAAAAAGCAAAATTGTTTTTTAAATCTCAAATAAATAATTAGATAAACTTTATAACATATGTAATATATATATATATGTATATATATTAATATATTAAAAGCAGCGATAAATAAATAATAAAATAATAAAACAATAATTTAAAAAATAACATCAAATCTTTTTATTATACCCGATGGAGGTGTTGATCCGTCCATCAACTTGGTGCCATTAAAGGTGCTAGATACTTCAAATCTACCTTTTTTGGTACCCGTTTTTTCTGTCTTTTCGATATTAGATGATTCAATAATAGTGATAGTGTCGGATTGGAATCGACTATTTTTAATTTGAGAAACCTCCTTAACTGAAGATGATGAATCGCTTTTCAAGGATGAATCTCGAGAAAGCGATGTAGGCGATTGGATAAAACCTTCATTTGAAGATGAAGTACTAACGGTAAGTGGAATAACTATGGGTTGAGGGCTTGTCTGTTGTATTTCAAACCGACTTTTCTTATAACTTTCTATTATAAATGATTTTTCAAAAATATTTTCATAAAATCCATTTAGAAATTCATTTAAAAATCATTCAAACTAAATAATTTACATGATGCAAAGCAAATACCATTTATGTGTCACCTGATAAACTCTCATTGGAATGTTCTCGTGCCAAAGGTATCCTTTCACCATTATTATTATTATCCAATTCATTTATCGGAATTGATTTTTCTTTTGATGAATTAGATTCAATAACACTGAATCTTCCTTTTCTAATCCCCTCTGATTGTGGCTGTGGTGACTGGATTGGTTCGGAATTTATTGATACAGGACTTTGTGCTCTTACATACGGGGATGGTTGTGTTGTAGTTGGTGTATTTGTAGGATTAGTGGAATGATCTGACGCAGTTGGGTTGGTTTCAACATAAAATCTGGATTTTTTTGGCGGAGCATTGATCAGTGAAGTTTCTTCAGCTTGCATCGTAAATCTTACAATTTTTTTATCATGATTTTCTTCTAACTCATTAAGCAAATCTTCACTATCAACAGTAAAATCCCATGTGACTCCTTTATTAAAAGTTATAGGTTTTTGTTGTACTCCTATAATATATATAAATCATATAATAAACGTTAATATACTGTATGTTTATAAAAAACATTTCAAGGAATTTTGCATACAATTTTTAATTAAGAAACTATACTTTTGTGGGGTCGATCTTCTAATGGTGGTATATTATGTAACAATTTATTATATAAATATTCTTTTCTTTTAGCTTGCCTGAAAAACTGATGACTCAACAATTTATCCGCGCTGGGTCTAATCAATAATTATAATTTAATAAATATGATAATAGTACATTTTATAATATATAATATTCAAATACCTTTTTGTTGGATCCTTTACCAAACATGAATCTATCATTTCTTTAAATCCTTTTGAATATTTATGTTTGGTTTCATCTCTTGCAAGAGTAGGAGGATCACTTGATAGCGTCATCATGATAACCTAATAGTAATAATTAAAGCCATTTAAATATAATTTCTAATAATAAAAATATATTTTTATTCCTTGATTCATAATTAAATTACTTTGAGTGGTGGACATTTTGCAAGAGGTGCACGTCCTGTTGCTAATTCAAGAGCTGTTATTCCAAAAGACCAAATATCAGCCTTATAATCATATCCTTCTTGCTCCATAATTTCAGGTGCCATCCAGCATGGCTAAATTAATTATAATGTTAATATATATGTGAGTGAGATTAAATAATAAATTATAATGTTCCTAATATTACCGTCCCAACAAAAGTTTTTCGAAGTTCTTTTCTATCACCACCTTCAGTAAGACAAGATGCCACACCAAAATCAGCAAGTAATACTGATCCGTCTCCATCCATTAAAAGATTGCCAGCTTTTACATCCCTAATTAATTAAAACAATAATAATATTAATAATATTCAAGTTAATAAAATTGCTATAATAATAATATGACATGCCTGTGAATATGTCCATGTTTATGTAGATAATCTAATCCTTGAAGTGCTTGTTTCAAAATCGTAGCTATAATTGTCTCTTCCAATCCATCAGGATATAAAGTCTTCATGATATCCAAACAGGAACCTGATTAATTATAATGAAAGACTTTTAACATACCATATTATGTTGAATATTTTTTTGAAATCCAATTAGAAAAATGAGTTCTTTATGCATACCAGCTGACATGTATGGTGTTACAATATATAATTTTGACTGATTTACAAAAGAGCAATAAACTTTTAACACGTTTGTATGTTTTGACAAGGACATTAATTGTGTTTCTTTCTACAATTGTTATCATGTATACACAAATCAAAATGATAATTATAATTATAATCTTGATTTTAGCAAATATAAGTAATCACAAACAAGATCTAACTATCAACTTCAATTTTTACGCACTCTAACTTCGTCAATTTGATTTCTTTCAAAAAAATCCAAATCAATGGTTTTGATTGCCACTTTCTTGTTAAGTGGTTTATATAAAGCTCCATACACAACAGCAGACGCGCCATACCCTATAGAATATATGTTAAAATCACAAATTCATTATTAAACAATAATCTAAGCTTGATTTACTAATCCTAAATATATATAATAAACTTTCAAAATTAGTGTATAAAAATTAATTCTTTTTTTAAATACTACATGCCTATAGGCCTATTTGTGTGAATTTCATAGTCTTCAAGAGAGTTTGAGAAAACAGGCTCATCAATGCTTGCGCTCTTCTTCATATCGGTGGTTTGTCTGTCCATTGTTATGGGAAAAAATAAAAAATTATAATGAGAAAATTTTATGGTGACAGCAGACAGACAGGCTTTTTTTAAAAAAATTTTTGAATAATATAAGTAACACAAACTGTGTTCTCTTGTTACGCACGTGAATTGTTTGTGCAAAATAACTGAATTAAAAAAAATTATGAATCAAGAAATGTTTATTTTATTTGTGTAAACGCGCGTCCCTCATCTGACTTTTTAAAAATAAAACAATAACAATAATATGAATTAATGTTCAAAAAGTTGATTGATTGATAAAAGATACAAGTTTTTTTCGTTGCATTCAACGATACACAAATCTTGCAAATGGAATTTATCATTTAGAATTAAAAAATCAAACGTTTTAAGTCAAATTAAAATCCACAATAATACACATGCATTATTGGGATGACCATAACTTGCTTCGTTATTCATTATTTGAATTGTGTACAAAACCAATTTTTAATTGGTTCCTCAAATATTTCCAGGTCCCCTTGTCTTTCATTCTGGATATTCCCGATCCATGGTATAACAAGTTGGTCGAGCTTATTTATACTATTACACTTGTACATATTAATTTTATTAATCCAAGTATGGAAATTCTTTGCTTGGCACAAGAGTTATTATTATTGGTTTACATAGCGATAAAATCGTTAATGCTTACTCGCATTTCAGCATATAATTTGATTCTATATTTATTTATTTTATTTATAACTAAGATGCATATCTATGCAAACAATGATAATTATAATAAATTAATTATTTTGATTGTTAGGGGAATCATCAATAATTAATATAACATTATACCGTTTAGTCCATTCTTTAGCAATTTTATCATGTTCCTCACGATCATTTAAATATTGGCATGCAATACTTCATACCAGAGGATCTTCTGTAAAATTTATTATTGATGAATATATATATAAATTGATTAAAATCAAAGTATTAATTGAAATTACGTGGATTTGTGTCAGTTAACAATGAGCATATAGTAATAAAACTTTCGAAATAGTTAAAGCAGGAGACTAATTATCCTTGAGAATATTGAGACAAATTTGACCAAAAGAATTGATATATATGTGTTCGAAATTTCACCTAAAGAAATAACGGATTAAACATAAAAGCTAATATATATATATATGCACATATATATTAGATATACCTTTGGAGGTTTAAATGGATAATTTTGAGAAAAAGTGATATCCAAGAAAAATATTCCACCAGCATAAGAGGTCCAATTATCGTAGAAACCCATTCATATAAATTGTCCCAGCACTTTCATGAAATATTCTACCTGCAATTGCATGGAGGATCAAGGCTGATATCAGCAAGTTCTTTTTGAATAAAAAAAATGTAAATAAATAAAATTTTATGCACATGTTATACAATCATTAATATTGGACTGACATTTTAGATCAAAGCGCGTAAAATTCTATACAAGTTTACCTTTTTGCGCTATTACCAAGTGTATTTAATTTAGTTTTACTAGAGTTATTCGTGTTGTTGTTTAAATTTTATGATCATAAGGGTATTTTGAATTAGAGCAACAATTTTGTTATTGACAATTTTATTTTTTCATCAAGTAAAATTTAAGTTTTAAATAACAACAGTAATAGCAACGAGATAAATCCGATGAAATGTTTGTATCAATCACGTGAAAACACGACATCTAAAGATTCTTAAAATTTAGTTTATTTTTATATATATTATTTAAAGAATGCACCTTTTTGATAAGAATGATTTTTTTGTAATGTTGTAAAATCTATAAAAAGTTTGATTTTCTCTATCTTTAATAACAACATATATATATAATATAGTACATTATATAATGTTTGTCTATCAAAAAGTCTTCTCGCAAAATATTATCTCAAAGTAAATGAATGAGTGAATGAATAGCAAAAAGTATTTATTTTACATTAATAATCCAAGTAAAATGCTTTAAATATTACTAGAATTAGAAGGTAAAAAATTTTTAAAAACAAAAAAAAAAAGCTGCTGCAAATAAATTTAATTGTTGTTGTTATGGTTGTTTTAGATTCTAATCATCTTTTTCACCAAAAGTTTTAGAAGCTTTAACAGCTTTCTTAAAAGAAGCTTTATCTGTTTGAGGTTGTTGTGATTCATTCATTGCACCGAATGGACTTGTTGTTTTAAACGGCCTTTTTAAATCACCTTCAGCGGGTTTCCCAAGAACATGAATTTTGAAAAGCTGATTTTGATAAATATTCTTTATTGGTAGAATTGATTGAATGAATAACGGATGTGTGAAATTCCAATAAAAATGCAAAAACATCATTATCACAACTCCAATTAATGTTTGTTTAACTAATTCTTTAAGCTTGCTAAGATCATATTCCATAAATGTCGTTTCAATTGGTTTACCAGGCTCGTTTGTAAAAGGTTTTGGAGGTTCAACATATCGAAGCACAGTTGTTTCTGTATTATAAGTGTTATATTAATTAATTATCTAATTTATATTTGTTGTATTAGAAAATAATTTCATAATCATTAATACATTACCATTTTTTGAATTTATCTTGTTCGATAAAAAGTAACAAATGGAGAGAATAATTGTTTGAGCCGCCATATAACCTAGACGAACATATGTTACTACTTCAGGGTCTTCAAGATCTAGTTTCCTAGACAATTGGAAAATGAGAAGAACAATAACCATATTTGTCACCTATCAAATAATATGAATGTTATGATTTGTTTATTTTTCATTTAATGAAGAGAGAAAAATCCTTAAATCAACGATTTTACCACTTACCTGAGAATTCATTTTGAAAATTATTATTATATTCAAAAAATATAAAAAAAAGAATAAAATAGAAAACTTTTCATTAATAATACAGGCAGGTCATTGTGACTTAATAAAAATTTATCATCAAGCCAATCAAATTTAGTTCAAAATTTCAAAATTATTTATTGTACAAAAAAAGTTTTTTTTAATTTATCTACAATTTCCTACCTAGGAAAGAACGACAATAAAAAATAAAAATAAAATATATATATATAAGCAAAAGATGTAAAAAAAAATTACGAGGTATTTTTCGATTTTTCAAATCACAAAAGATGAAATAAATATATAAATATGCGAATATGCGCATATTATTAAAAAAACAATATATTTATAATATAAATTACTAAAATTTATATATCCTAAATTAATTAACTTTTTCTGATATTGCTAGTGCTGGAACGTTTTCTATGATTGTTGTCATCTCTTCCAAAAGAGAAGTGAGAATCTTGAGATGGGTGTCTAGAATTACGATTAGAATAACATTTATCTTCCACAAATTCTCTAGGTAGACAACGCGAGTTGATGAATTGTTGTTTTCTATTATCTATTAGCGGAACTTGTTGAAGATCGTGCATATGATTTGTTGTTCTTTTGATGGTGGCAGATAATGGAGGTGTTATATTATTACTATGTACATCACGTAAATTTGGAACGCTTCTTTTAGAAAGTCTTGTCCCATTTGAATTATTACCAAAATTTGGAATGCTCTCTTTTGATCTAAATGAATCATTATTGTTAACGTTGTTATATCCAGAACCATAATGAGGTGATACTAGTGCAGAATATGCTGAATTAGGGATTGTACTCGACTTAGGTGACATAGAGGCAGATAATGGTGATGGTTGTCTAGATTGTGAGTCATATAAATCATAACTTTTTCTGAATGCCATAGCATTAGAGCGTTTGACATCTATTGGATCCGGTTTGCGTTTTAATTGTCCAGAATTACGTTGATTTCTTTGTCTGGCATTGAATTGTCCATTATTATTGTTGTTATGATGATGATAATTGTGGCTTTCAATATCAGTTGGAACCACAGTCTCATTATTCATATGATTAATCCAGTGATCAGAACTTTGTAATTCACCATCAAATCCTTGAAATTCATGCTCTGCATTATGATTCATACGACCTTTTCCTTTTCCTTCAGTCTTTGGTGTAGAATTTAACTCTTGACTATCTGTAGTGGTGTCTTGGTCCCATGTAAGACCTTGTCTCCATGCATTTAGAATATCTGCCATATCTTGTTCCCACTTTTGTTTATTATAATCTTTCACATCAAAAACCGTTGTTTTAATTTGACTATCATCGTGTATACTAGAATGATCATGATCATGACCATGATTATTTTCGGGCACAATGACGTTATTTGCACGGATCGGTTCTTTGCGAGATAAAGAATATTCTTTTTTTGATGACGATGACGATGACGATGGTGATTTATTATTGTTGTTGTTGTTATTGTTGTTGTTGTTGTTGTTGTCGTTAACTAAATTATCGTTAAAATGAGCTCCGCCAGCAGGCGCCAGAGATTTATAATTTGATTTATTATTCTTATTATCATTATCATCTTTACCGCCATTCCATGATCGACCTTCTTTCCACGCATTTTCAAAATTAGCAACTTGTTGGTTCCATATATCAACAGGATTTTTTGGAGTAAACCAACCTTTCGTATATTTTTTACTTTGATGATTTTTATGAAGGTAATAATTTCTAGAATTACGATTATTATAGTTGTTGTTAGGCTGGATATTATTGTCAACATGTTCTGGATCTTTGTATGGCAAAGAATATGTTCTTGGGCGTGATGGTGATAAGTCATTTCTGGATGGAACAGTGAATGAGTTTGAACGTTCCCTTGCACCAGAAATGTGGTCATAGTTTTGTTGATATCGAGAGGAAAAACCTCCACCAAGAGTAAATGATTGTTTTCCATTAAACCATTCAATTTCTTGTGCCACTAACTCAGCTTCAGGGCCGGTTCCTGTAGTTCCACTAAGTATATAAATAAATTCATTAAGTATATTATTACATTAATAAATTAATTAATAAAAAGGAATGGATACACACACCAACATGCTCCTCAAGTAATCATAATTCGGTTTTTCGTCGTATCTTAGCTTCCTACAGTGCTCGAGATACTTTAGAAATCCTGTAGGACATCCTTTACACAATCTGACAAGGGATGTGTCTTTTTTGATTTTTAACATTTTTGCCCACCCTTCTTGAGAGCTAATGGCTCTAATCCCCGACCAAGGGAGAGAGCCATTTAACATCTCAAGGAAAACATAGCCCAATGATTCCATGTCGTCACGTCTAGTATGACCTATTAAAAAAAATTTTTTTTAACACAGAACATAATTACAGTATTAAATTTTTTTGTTATTGTTAATATTAAAAATACAAGTATTAATATTATTGATTGCTGCAGTGTTAAGAAAAGCGCTTAATATTATTTAATTAGCTTACAATATCCTTTGTGAACATTAATACTGGCATAACGAGCGGTGCCGGTCTTGCTTTTTAGCATTTTTTTATTTTTTGGTATATGCTTTCCTGTTTTTTGATCGATATAGTATGCAGCCAGTCCAAAATCAACAAGAAAAGTCTTGTATTTTCTTCCAACCAGCATTTGGATTTTTTTGGATCTGGGGCTATCATTAACTAAATCAAATATATTGGGTTCTGCTAGCTGATCTAAAGGTATCGGAAAATTGTTTTCGAGTAGGAAATTGTCTGGCTTTATATCACGATAAATGATTCCTTTACTATGGACATATTCCATAATTTTCACCTATATATATAAGTTATTTGATTTATATATATATATAAATATAAAAATAATTAATAATTAAATTTAGGTAATATTATATGAATCCGTATAATAATAAATTTATATATCTATGTATACTATTTTATATCTTATACACACCATTTGAATTGCAACATTGCTTACGAAATCTACAGGCAAAGTACAGAATGCTTTTGACAACATACGTAAACTTGGGCCTAACATGTCCATAACAATGCAATTCCAACCCAATTTCTCACCATACCAATAAACTTTAGGAATATGATCTTTTTAATAAGCGCATAATAATCAATTAGCATAATATGAAAAAGTAATTTGAATATTCGAAGTTATTAAAAAAAATTTACCATGTCCTTCTAATGATTTTAAGAACTTGTATTCATCTGGTAGTTGAGGACTGTAAACAATTGTTTCTTCTCTTTTAAGAGCGTATAATTCTTTTGTTATAATATGTTTAGCTATTAACAGGAGGATAAATCATTTTTAAGCACATAATTAAAGAATTGCATATGACAATAGTAAATGAATAAATAAATAATATACCTCGAAAGACCTGGCCAAAGGCACCCTCACCGATTTTGTCTTCAACTAACCAATATCCACCAACTACTATGTCGTTAGTCATCTTCAGTAGTAACTTGGTAATTTACTGAAAGTAACTAAATGGCGGATAAAGGTTGTTCAAATTAAAAACCTTCGAGAGCTCTTGGTAACAAAGTCTAACGAGCTCTTTTAATTATTAGTTGATAGTAACAATTCTAAAATATTTTTAAAATAATATTTAATTATGACGAGTAATAATTGTAAATGTGTGGATTAACAAAATTTATTTTTTTATGAGAAAAAAAAAAAGTAAAAAGCTTGAGAAAATTAATGACTTTACGTAAGAAAAGAAACTAACGCTATAAACTTTTAGTTTTTTTGCTTTAAAAAGGCAATTTTTTTCAAATTTAGGTATTACAAAAATGACTAAAGTGTTATTTAGCATACACAAAACTTTTCTCTATTTGGACATAAATTTTTGGGTTTCCAATAAAAAGGAAAATGTAGAGTGTTATGACATAATTATAATTATAGTGTAGTATATTTTGAGCAAAACCAAAAGGCAAAAATAATTTTGAGCTTTAATGTTGAAATGATCGACGTTGTGGTAAAGTAATGGTAGGACCTCGGATAATTATTAAACTGGTATGCAAGACTACGTAAAAAAAGTTCAGTCAGGATTATCACCAAATTTGGGGATCGACCTTTGTTGATCAATTTATGTGGCTGCATTTTGAAAATCATATTTTCATAATCTACTAAACAATGATCTATTAATTTATTCAAAAAGTATATAGGCTTTTACATAAACTTCAGTCAGGGAATATTCCAAATATGGAAATTCTAAATACTGCAATGATTGACTTTCTAGAATTTCATAGAATACAATAACAAAATTTGTCTTTTTTTTAAAACACAGAATTAATTCACATAACAGCACTTGGACATCTCTGAAGCATTTATTATTATCAATTATGAAAAGAAGATTGCTTCATTAATTAGCATTAACGCGATCACCCAAAGCCACAAATTTTAACCATATATATACAGAATACACATATACCGAGGAGAAAAACATATTAATATAAAATAACATTAAATTGTTTTGAAAGTTTTGTGTGCGCTTTGCTAAAATAATAATAATAAAAAAGAGATCAATGGTTGATTTTAAGATAATTCTTTTCTTGATTGTGTCACCGATTAAATTCGGGAGAGCGTATTTTAATTGGTGATAACAATTGTTTTTGTTTTTGCGTGGATCAGAATGAATAGGGGATCAACGAATTGATTTTGTTATTAGCGAATAGTTTTGGGTAAAGAAGATGAAAGTTTATTTAAATAAAATATTACTATTTTATTCATTTAGTTTTATTTAGTCGAAACTAATTAACTTGTTAGAAAGTTACTTTACAAGTACATTGAATTCAAGCTCCTTATATACAATTCAATTAATTAGTAATTCTAATTTCCCCAAATTGAGATATTCTCCCAATATTGAGAAGTTATCCCAAAATTGAGACGATATCTCAAAATTGCGACGATATCCCAAAATTGAGAAGATATCCCAAGACGATTCTTTCTTAAGTTAAATAAATTACGATGTTATACAAATAATTGATAAATAAATATAATAAAATAAAAATGAAAATAAAAATAAAACGTATTACGAAAGTAGATGTAACACGGATAAAATAATACCAAATTAATAAAAATTAAGAATTTCGGAATTAGTTAAATTCGACCAAAAGAGCGTCCAAATCTAATTCCGGTAACAATAAACTTTCAAACGAATCTAAATTTATTTAATTATGTTATGTAATTGTTGAGATATGCAATTTTTTGTCACTGCTGTTTTTCTCTTAACACACTGTATGTTTCATTCTGGTACTTGTGGCCCCGTATAGAAATGTTGATCATTTCACTGTTTCATAGGCGGATCACTTTTTCAAATAGAAGCAATAGCTTAAAAGCAGTAACAATAGTATGAAGACGAAATGGTAATAAATAATAAATAATGGGATTTTTGTTTATATATTGATGATATTTTAATTCTAGTCATTATATATACAGGTCACTCCCGTTATAAGGACACTCATGGGACAAGCAAAAAATGTTCGTATAACGAGATATTTTTATAACGGGAGTTCATATAAAATCACATGACTTGAAAAATGATTATAAAATTTTTTTAGAAATTATTAATTTATTTTAAAATCAACAATTTAGCAAAAGTTTATAATTATAATCATTAATGATTAAAAGGTTTAGAAAAAACGTTTTTAAAAATTTGCAAAAATTTTTAGTGTAAGTATTGGATAATTCATAATTCTTTTATAGACTTGTTTGAAAACGTCATCAAAAAAAAAACAATTGTGAATAAATTTCTTTATTGTCAAAAATGTAAAATATTTCATCACTGTAAGTGTTTCATCATCATCAAGAAGAGATCAATCAAAAACGTAAAGATACTTTGTTACAATTCACAAACTAAAATCTCCCACTAAATTCTAAATCTGAAGAAACATGTAGTACCAAATCTGCCCTTTGACCCATTTTTGATCTAGCTAATTGTTTTATACCAGGAACTGTACGACCTAAATTTTTTCTTAATGCAGATGCTAAACTAGAAGATTCTCCACGAACTTGCTCCATATTTTCAATATTTGCAAAGCATTGGTCCAAGATAGGCCCCCACAAATGGATATTATACCATTGTTCTAAATGGTCACTCTTTAAAGATCCAGATTCATATTCCCTAATGATAGCATGCATTGCGAAATTTACCCAATCTATGTCATGATGAAGTTCACAAACATAGTTTTCTGATATTGATTCATTATCATTTGTCAACAAACGTCTAAGTTCGTGTATTTTGTTATCAGAAAATTTCATAATATAATTAATGAGACCTTCAGGAAATTCTGGAAGCTCCTCTTTTTTTGTAATCACAAATTTCTTCAAGCTCTTCTTTTGTAAATATTTTATCATTGATATAAGAATTATCATCTGGATCTAAAATAAAACTATGACACATATGTTCAGAGGTACATTTTAAACCATATTCATATAGCAAATCTTCTACAAATTTTCCGGTGGATAGTTTCCACTTGTATTTTTCATTTTTCTGAAGGTACTTGTAAAAGTGCTTAACCTAGCGGTGATAGTAATAATGTAGAAATTAATTATAATCATTACCATTGTAACTAGAATGGAGTGTTGCACACAACTACTGTGCACGGGGAGATCCCTCTCACAGCATAGTTGATTAATTTTTACTATATCTAGAATGGCAAGCTTGCAATAATTGCAACTACCACATTCTTTTTAACAACTAATAAATAAAACTTACCAATTGATATCTTCACGTTCATTTTCTTTGTTTCTTTTTTTGTATTATTTTTGATTTTATTCATTTTTTTTTGAGAGAAAAGAAGTATATATATAGAATGAAAAACAATCACAACCACCACTGCTGTTCTTTAATAATTAACTAGAGTGACAGCGAGTGGTGGGTGATAATCGCCACCATCCTTAAAACACTTATCCTCTAACAGCACCAATATTATCTTCTCTTCTCCTTTTATTGTTTTCTTTGGGCATGTTTATAAAAAAAAATAAAGAAAAAGAAGTTTGTGATTTGATCGACGTGTACACATTAATTAATTATCCTATTGGTTTTTTTTTGGGAGGACAGACGCGAATTTGATTTTTTTTTTTTTTTTTTTTTGAAAAACAAGGAACAATTTATTCTTTGACAGAGTCCAAGGTGACAAAACGTGAGTGCTGTTGTTTGGTTTGGTTTGGGTCTCCTAAAGAAAATGTGTTAATAAGTGCTTTTTTTTATTTGTATTGATATTTTTATTTTAGTTTATAAATATTTTAATTGGAATCAAAACACGGAGCAAATCTTGTTGGGTAATTATAAGATTCTTATCAAGATGATAATAAATGATTGGTATCTTGCTTTGCATAATCGTAATAATAATATTATTATTAATATATAATTACAAGAGGATGTCAAGGCAACACACCATTTAAAAAGAAACATTTCAATATGTGATGTTTGATTATCGGAAATTTTATAGATGTTGAAGCACGCACACTACCTTGAACACATTATGGTCATTCTCTCATGTCTTCCTTGTGTGCACAAAGCTAATCTGACCAGCTCCGTCCTATGGATATGATGATGCAACCAATACCAGGGGGAGGTGCATGGCCCTGGAGTTTACTGAGACTGCATCAATTGTCAATGACACTTACACTAATATTCCCAGACCAGAGAAGGCTGCCATGTTAGACGAAAAGTCCCCTGCAATGATCCCACCTCTAGGGTAAGGGTGGCTCTGTGACCGAGCTGTTGCAACTCTGGAGGAATATTAAGAGAATCTGCAGCTCATTCAAGCACAGGAGGTCACAATTCAGAGCAGGGTTGGTGACCCTGAAATTGCATTTGGACTCTGATGTTAGGAGGAAAGTTGTAAAATAGTGTTTGTTTTGTATAATCACTTTCCTAAATGCTCTGTTTCTCTGATACTAACCAATTTATGATTTTGGGTGGGGGACTGGATGGGTTTTTTGCCCAATCAGTTCTCTGTCCTGTAGGTTATAATTCTTAAAGATATTATAGAAAGCAAGATTGAACAAATTAAAGATTTAGAAGCAGAGGTAGAAGAGCTAGAAGAAAGAGTAAAAATAGAACAGGAACAAGTTAAGGA